TGTTTTTTCTCCCTATTTTCCACTCCATTCACTACTTCAGAGTGGGGGAAGACAAGCTACCTAAGACTTTTATCCAGCCTAGTGTTATAACCTCAGGGACAGCAGCACCGGACAGCGTTTCCCAGGAGACTCACCCAGGGAGCCTCTGCAGCTTGACTGTGCAGCCTGTGAAGCCGCATTTGGATTAATCACAGCCTCTCTTCAGAGGCTTGATCAGTGTCTTAATCACTCAGCCCCAGTCATAGTAGTAGTTCCTCAGCCACACCACAAGGGGGCGCAGGTTAGAGTTCGTCAAAGCTTATGGGGACAAACTTCCCTGAGCCCACCTGCAGGGGCTCAGTGGTTGGTGCTGCCACAAGGGTAGTCTGGCTGCCGGCTATAACTGCCAATCCTTTTATTCAGGGCAGCCAGAGTCCTGAGAGACCAATGGCTGCTATTAGGGAATCAAATTACCCTATCCCTTGTTTACAGGAAAATGAGCATTGGTTATGTTTAAAACACAACTCCAGCATACAAATCCTATGTTAATACTGTTGCCATTCATATATGTGAATACATGTTTGTGTGTGTTCAGGTGCACATTCAGACATACGTGTACACATGTGGAAGCCAGAAGTCGCCCTCAACTTTGTTCCTCGGGAGCTAACCATGATGTTTTTCTGGGACAGGGTCTTTGACTTTTACTTGAAGCTTGCCAACTGGACTAACCTGGCTGGCCAGCGAGCCCCAGGAATCCATCTGCCTCCACCTCCCCAGGGCTGGACTACAGGTGTGCACTGTGCCTGTTTTCACATGACTGCGGAATTCAAGTCCTCATTCTTGGGCAGGAAGTACTGAGCCACTTCACCTAACTGACAGCAGACTGTAAGACGGCCCACCACCTGCCCACAGCCCAAGATGCGGGAGGGAGGGCCTTATCTGTCTTATAGGAACCCATTGATTTATTTAGCATACTATGTGCGTGTGTTCATGCATTTGGTGAATATGCATGTTGTATCCATGCATGTGGGGACTCAAGGTTGAATTGAGAATCTTGATTCCTCACCACCCTATTGACTGAGACATGGGCCGGACAGTTTTATGTCAACGTGGCACAAGCTAAAGTCATCCGAGAGGAGGGAACCGCAAATGAGAAAATGCCTCCATAAGACAAGGCTGAAGGAAAACCTGTAAGGTATTTTCTTAACTAGTGATTGATGGGGCAGGGCCCAGCCCATTGTGGGTGGCGCCATCCCTGGGCTGGTGGTCCTGGGTTCTATAAGAAAGCAGGCTGAGCAAGCCATGAAGAGCAAGAGAGTAAGCAGCACCCCTCCATGGTTTCTGCATCAGCTCCTGCCTCCAGGCTCCTGTCCTGCTTGAGTTCCTCCCCTGACTTCAGTGATAAACAACAATATGGAAGTGTAAGCCAAATAAACTCTTTTCCTTCCCAACTTGCTGTTGGTCATGGTGTTTTATCACAGCAATTGTTAGGCTCTTAAACAAACCCAGAGCTCAACAAGATAGGCTAGTCTGGCTAGCCAGCTGGCTTCTGGGATTCCTCCTTCCCCAGGTGGGGAATTACAGGCCGGCTGCCGTGATCATCTGGCATTGCATGGGCGCTGGAGACCTGAACTCCTGTCCTCACGGTTAGGCAGCAAGTGCCATCCACCATGTCGTCATTTCTACAGTGTTTGTCGCAGGCTGTGTTGCCTGCTTCATTGGCTTAGGATGCAATCACATGTTATTGGGACATCCACAGAGGCAGGAGACTGGGCCCCACAGGCAGGAAGGCTTAAAGGACCTCAGCATTTGCTGGGGATTCTGAGTCTTTGGCCACTGTTTGTGCTCCATCAGTTAACGGACTGTTCACGCTGTCCAAAACCCAGGCTAGTTTTCCTCGGGTTGATCAGAAACTAGGCCGCTGATGCTGCATGGGAGCGGTTCACACTTGGAGTCCTCCCACTGCACGGCATTCTTCTCACTTTGGGGATGGTTCTGAGTCAACCTCAGCTCACTGTGAGCCTACCTCTCCTTGGAAGGGAGCTGTGTGTGGTGGGATTATGCTTGTACTGTAACAAAGCTTGCCTGAAGATTAGAGTGTAGAGTTAAGCTACTAATTGGCCATAGAGGCCAGGCAGTGGTGGCACACACCTTTAATTCCAGCACTAGCGAGGCAGAGGCAGAGATCTCGGTGAGTTCAAGGCCACCACGACTACACAAAATTGATCCAGTCTAAAAAAGAAACAGAGCCAAGTGGTGAAGGCTCACACCTTTAATCCCAGCACTAGGGAGGTAAAGACAGGAAGCGATACGGCTGGGCAGAAAGAGAAATATAAGGCGGGAGGAGACAGGAGCTCAGGATTCAGTCTGAGGTTTCGTAGAGAAGGCATTCAGTCTGAGGACTTACAGAGACAGGATACCTCATTTAGTCAGGATTTCATAGAGGTAAGGCTGCACCCCCTAATATCTGACTTTGGGTTTTTATTACTAAGACCAACTAAAATACACGCTACAGCTGTGTGTTCTCCTTTTTGTTTTCTGAGTCTCACTGAATGTCCTTTCAGGTCCATCCTGTTTCCTGTCTATTTTGTTGTTTTATTCGCCTTCCCAGCTGAATGAAATTTCACTGCGCATGTCTGCCATCCTTTCTCTGTTCCTCTGTTGATGAGCACCTAGGTCTCTCCATTTCCTACTAGCGCGGACAACCCGCCAATGACCACGGACGTCCACTTACACCCAGAAGGTCTGTAACTGAGTCACATGATAATCCTGTTTCTAATTTTCTTTATCAGGACGCGTCCCACTGGCCTCCATGATGGCCATACGGGTTTCCACTCCGGCCACAGTGACTAGTTCTTCCTGTGCATCCCGCCAGCAGTAGCTGCCATTTGTTGTCCTGATCCTAGCCGTCCTGACTGGGATGACACGGAATCTTTTTTTCTTAACATTTGTTTATGTATGAGAGTGCAGGGCCACGTGCCACAGCGTGCGTGTGGAGGCCTGAGGACGGTTAGCATCGGTGCTTCTCACCTGAGTCACCTGGCTTTGTGGCAAATGCCCTTACCTCTGAGCCACCCAACTCAAAGAACCAGGGATGAAATCTTAAAGATTTTCATTTCTATTTCCATAGTGGAGAAGGTGTTTAATACCTTTTAAATGTACTTATTGGCCATTTCTGTTTCTTTTATGAAGTCAAAGTCTTTTCATTTTTTTTTGTTCAGCAGGTTGAGGGTTTGGGGTTGTTTTGTCTTTGTTTTGTGGTTTTGGTATTTTAGTTCTTTACATATCCCAGACATCAGCACCCATCTGAGGCTTAGCTATCAGATCCTGTCTCCCATACTATAGACTATTTACCTTGCTGATAGTTCCCCTTGCAGAGCAGAATTTTTTAAAAAAAAATTATCTTTAATGTGTATGGGTGTACGTGTGTGCGTGCGTGTGTGTGTGTGTTGCAGACAGAGGCTGGAGTTACAGGCGGTTTGAGTTTCCTTATGTGTGCTATGCACTGAACTCAGATCTAGACGGGGTTAAGTGAGCAGGAAGACTCACTGTCTATGTGGCGAACTCTTCCAGGAGCTGAGATCCCAGACTGGATAAAGAGAACACAAGCTGAGCACCGGCACCCCATCTTGCTTGGCATTCTGACTATAGACGTCACGTGACCAGGCACTTCCTGCCCCTGCCACCATGCCTTCCCCACCATGACAGACTATAGCCCCTGGATCATGCGCTGGAGTATACCCCTTCCTCCTTATTTTTATCAGGTATTTAGTTGAAGAAGTGAGACAAGGCATTAAACAGGCTGCCTGGCTCTGACTCCCCCCAACAGGAGCCTAAAGATACCCAGATCCTAGGTACATGGCCACAACCAGGTAGAACGGCACAGGCTTGTAGTTCCAGGACCAGAAGGCCGAGGCAGGAGGATCACAGCCAGTCTGGGCTACATAAATAGACCTTGTCAGAAACAAACTGGGAAGGGATGTTGGGGGACATGGACAAGAAGCTCTCATGGCATATCTTTGAATCTCAAAATATAGTGAAACCTAATGTGAATACTTTCTAGTTGATAATGTTCTTAGTGAAAATGTTTCAAAATCTTCCACACTGAAGGCCCTGGCTGCAGAACCCGATAACAGCCGAGTACATCTGTATCCTAGGCTCAGGTCTGGACTTCATGGAAAGGAAAGAATGAACTGGAAAGCTCCAGCTCCCTAGGCAGGTGACTAGAAATGAATGTGTTCTATGGTTGTGTCTGACCCTCTGACATCAGGGCAAGAAAGATGTCTCCAACGAAGTTCACTCCCAAGAGCCAAGAATTGAACTATCAAAAAAAAATTCTTACAATTTTAAATAAGTTTACAGTTTTGTGTCAGACCACATTCATAGCTATCCTGGGATGTTAGTAACCCGAGGCCGCAGGCTGGGCACCCCTGCCCACAGTGCTACTTTGATGGCAGCCGGCTCTATTTGTCCCCTACAGAAGGCTCAGGTTGGAGCCGACAGCAGAACAGCCCAGTCACCTACAGGAAGGCACAGGACTTCATTCTAAACCCTAGTTGGCCTTCTCTGGAGGCCAGGCCGTTTCTGCAGGGAGGCAAACATCAACAGCTATTTCCAGAGGGGCTGTGGGGAGAGGGCACAGAGGGGTAACCAGGGAACTGGCTCACCATCTACCTTCGCTCTTCCCCTGCTGGACACGCGCTCTCCATAGAGTCCGAGGTCCCATCGCAGGCCACCAGGGTCTCCTCAGGGCTCTGATCTGCTGTGTGCCGCCCCGGCATCCATCTGCCCACCCTCCAAATGCCGAAGTATTAAGGTCACCTAGGACAGTTTCCAGGAGGTATCCATCACTTGTCCTCTAACCAACCACCAGTGGGCACCCCAGAGAGCACGTGCCCTTAGCCTAGGGGAGGGTCTCCCACACCCAGTACCTGAGGGGCATCAGCAGTATAAAGGCTTCAGCTGGCCTGGGTCCCACTCACACAACTGAGGCGAAGAAAGACATGTGCACTGTTCCTGGGTGGTTTTGTCAGGTTTTTTGTTTGTTTCGCTGCATTTTGAACACTAGGGCTTATATTCAAACAGCACACGGATGGTCTGCAGAGCGGGACCAGGCTGGGCCAGTGTGCAGGCCCCACCCACGGCAGCTGCCAGAAGAGGACCCAAGCCCCGCCCGGCGGCGCGGCCAAGCGTCAGGCAAGTGTGGCGGTGGCTCAGCGCCCCCCGACCCGCCCTGAACATGCGGGCACCGGGAACTCAACTAGGGGGACCACAGCAGCTTCGGGAACACTGGAGAAGTCCACTGAACTGGGCCGGACGGCTCTTTGGAAAACCACTTCATCTTTGGGGGAACACCTCTTGGCTTAGGTCTCCACTCCCCAATTTCCCGACATTTTTCAAGAGTTTCAAAACAAAAACAGAAAAGAGAGGAAGAAAAACAAAGAAAAAGAAAGCACACATCTTTTGGGAAACGGTGTTCTTCACACACCGGAAGGCTGCAGGGGCTCCGCCATCACTGCACCCGCTCGGTGAAATTCTCCGGGAAGACGCCCCGGCATTTCTCCAGGTCTTTGTGTTGGTTCCAATCGCTTTCCTTCACTCCCATGAGCCAGCCTTCATCCTGCGGCCAACAGAGCGTGGGTAACAGGTCCACGTCACAACAAGCAGGCCTGGGAGGAGCCTGTCAGCCTGCCTGCCGGCTATTCTGATCTTCTGTGCCTGACGGCACTGGTCTAAGCCTCAACTATGTGCTCAGTACCAGCCCATAACCATCTGCTCCCTGCAAATGCATCCCTCCTGGGATCCAGACCCTTCAGATACAATGAAGGGCCAGGACAGGCCACACCCAGCTGCCACCTGTCTCCTCTCATAGCTCTTACAACCTGTTCTGGGAAGAGGTCCTAAAAGAAGAAGGGCTGTAGACCATGACAAATGGCAGCTGTCACCTGCTAACTATACCACCGCTCTTCCAGACAGTCCTAATCCAGTCCTTGTGACTCCAAACACCTGCCTCAGCTTACATAGTATCTCACAGCCTAGTTGTGATTGCTGATGATCCTAGACCCAGTCCCTTGTCCCAACACACCCGCCTCTCCTTTCCTCTCCCCTCTCCTCCTCTTTTTTCTCTCCCCCTCCCAGCTGAAACTTCCTTCAGATCCCATTGCTTTGTCAACTCTAAGGAACCCGGAGAGTGCTCTGTCTCCTGTGTGTCCTCTGGAACAGGGTTTCCCAAACCCTAACAACTTCCAAGAGGACCCCAACTTTCCACCCAAGTCCCCAGATGTCTATAAATAGCCAGAAAGTTCTGGAAGTACTAGCAGTTAAAAACTTCTAATCAGACCTTCTGAGGTATGTGTGGGTAGATGGGGCTGAGAAAGGATGGTAACAAGTTCTTCAAGGCCAGCCTGGACTACAGAGTGAATTCAAGGTCATCCTGGAACAATTTAGTGAGTTCCTGACCCCAAATTAAAACTTAAAAGAGAGGGCTGTGGATCTAGTGTGGTGGTAGGGTATGCACGTGGTCCTTGATTCGACACAACACCCAGTGCTGAAAAAGAAACATGGGAAGGGAGGAGGGAAAGAGGGGAGGAGGGGAGTGAGGTGGCTCCGTGGATAAAAGTGCTTGCTACCAAACCTTACAACCTGAGTTCAATCCCTGAGGCCTGCCTGGTGGAATGAAGGAAAAAAGGAAAGACTCTTGAAAAGTGTTCTCTGACCTCCACTCATGGACCATGCCACACGCATGCACAAGTACACACACACACACACACACACACGTACACACACACACACACGTACACACACACACACACGTACACACACACACACGTACACACACACACACACGTACACACACACACACGTACACACACACACACACGTACACACACACACACACGTACACACACACAATAAATAATGTAATAAAGATCTCAAGCCTCTAGTAGATGTGTCCAACGTTTAGATGCTGTGGCAGCTGCTCTCCTCTACAAAGCTCGCGCTCGAGAACTGGTCAGTCGAGTTGGAAAAGCAAAAGAACAAAAATCCCCTACTACCGGGGACTGGGATATGGTTGAGCTGGCAGGGTGCCTGCCCGGCATTCCCCAGGTTTCATTCCCAACACCACATGAACAAGGCTTGGTGGTCAGCAAGTCCAGAACTCTGGAGGCAAAGGCCAGAAGATCAGAACTTCAAGATCATTCTCAGCTGCACGGTAAATTCCCGGTCAGCCCAAATACACATGAGACCTTGTCTCAAAACAAAACAAGATGTTTTAAATAGGTTCACTGTTTTATGTTAGGTCGCATTTACAGTTATCCCAGGGCATATGTGACCCACTGACATGCTTGCTAGAAGGTCCCAAATTCATTCTATGAAGCCCTTCAATCCCAACTTGCTTCTTCCTTCAACACTAACCTGCACAGGGGTTTTCTCTGCAAGCCCTCACTGCTGGAGTTCCATGACTGTCCCAAAGCTGAACCATGCCTGGCAACCTCCTGGGTCTGTGCAATTTTATTCTACCATTATCTGCATTGTTAGAGATCTCTGCACTTTACTGATTCTGTACATAACCCATCTCAAGCCCTCTAGTACCCATACACAACCTCCTGCTGGCTGGTGGCCAGGGTTTACGCTTCTCAAAACCCCACCCAGCTAGGAAAGACCCACCGAAGTGGCCAGGAGATACCTCTGACTTTAGAACAGCAGCAGATGGGGCTAGAGAAATGGCTCAGTTAGTAAAGTACTTGCCACTCAAAGCATAAGGCTCTGAGTTCGAACCCCAGAACCTAGGTAAAAAGCCAGAAGTAGGGGTATGTATTGAAATCCCAGCACTGAAGGAGAGATGGGCAGACCTTATCACAGATATAGGTAGATAGTTCCTAGGGAACAAGTAAGGTTTTCTTCTAGTACACACATACACACACACAAGGCACACAACACACAGGCATACGCATGCACACAGGTACACAAAACATACACATACACACACACACACACACACACACACACACACAAGCTGCTGTGGGATATTCAAGCCTGGGCACTCCCTGCAGCTCAGCCCACACCTACTGAGGGCGAGAGCCAGCCGAGGTGCTCAGTGTCAGCATGGATGTTACCAGCAATGTGAAGGCTCGCTATGCCGACAGTGGCACTGGGCGGGGGAGTCAGCCACAAGCAGGTCCGTTAGGGGCTGCCTTCCAAAGTTAACTGACATTAAGGCGGTGGCAGCGGTGAGAAAGGCCTAGAACACCCAGCTAAGAACGCAGCCGAGGAGCTATACAGAGTGGAGCCTGTGCTCTATCACTGCAGGCGGGAACCCTGCAGAAAAAAGGACAAGCCCTGTGGCCAAGAGCATGGCAAAGACAAGAAACAAACACAGATGCAGGAAGTTGGCAGGGCAGCTGGAAGAAAGGAAAAGAACAGGCTAAAAAGAGAGGCACAGACAGAGGGGGGCAATGAGAAGGAAAGACTGGAGGGGGACAGGGAGAATAACACAAGTAAGATTGGGGGGAAAAAAGGGGGGGCTCAGGTAATGAATGGCAACCTAGCCACGCCCTACTACAGTGGGCCTCTGCTGCCCCCTACTGGCCATACCCACCACTGCAGCAGCAGCCCCGGGATTCCCGTCCTCCACACCCCACACCACCCTCTCAAACCTCCACTCCACTAGGCTCACCGGAATTCCCATCCTCCCCCACCCCCGCATTCCCCCCTCCCCACCCCCATACTCCCCCTTCCCCTCGTTCACCTGCTCCTCTGGGTTCTGGAAGGGGATCACCAGCACCACATCGCCAGCTTTGAGTTGCAGCTCGTCCGTGTCAGTGGCCGTGTAATCGTGCTGGGCTTGCACCTGCGGAAGTTGGGAGAGCATGTCCGGGGGCTGTGTCCCCATCCAGCCCACAAAAAAATGGAGGCTTTTCTTAAAGTAGACTCAAGAGGCTCCGTTAAGAGTGAGCCACAGGGCTCCTGGGCTAAGCATCTTAGCCTGTACATGAGGGTGACCCTGGCTCCCAAGGCACCTAGGACAAAGGCTCCAGGGTTAGCTAGGCTAAGCTCACCTTGAACATGAAGCCCGGGGGCAGGTCCAAGCGCCCCGTCCCACTGCTGCCCTCCACGGCACCGTTCACAGTTGCTGAGAAGGTCTCCACCACCACGGCAGGAAGAGAGCTCTGCGAACAGGGCAGGGGAGTCAATCGCACCAATGGCAGCGTGGGTAAAGTCGGGGCACCACGAGGGAAGGGGATGCGTTCATGTCTGGCGCCAAACTACCCTTCCCGGTGCTCTTCCAGGGAACTGCGGCCTGCACCAACATGGGTGAGGCACACAGGGAAGCTGCAGGCAGGCAGAAGACAGACAGCACTAGACAGACAGACAATGGGGAAGAAAAAACAGGGCATGGTCCCTGCCATCTTACGGAGGCTGCTTCACTGGCCGCTGTCTCCCCTGGCTCCTGGGCTCCACCCACCACCTCGGAGGCCTCTGCTGGCTGCAACATAAAATGCCAGCAAGGGATCAGACACGGAGCGGGATGCCCATATCCAGGACACATCACAGGAGGGCAGCGTACAAGTGAGACAGCCTGGCTGGCCCAGAAATGTGTCTCGCACAATGCAGGGGCATCCCGCAGGACAGACATCTCTGTACAGGAGGCGACTGGTGAGAAAATGCTGGCTGATACAGGGGTGATGTGTGCAGAATGCTCTACACCTCACCGAATGGCATAACTACCATGCATGCTGCTCCCACCTCTGCCTTACAGGCCCTTCCCTCTAAATACCCAGCTTCCTCCTGCCCGCTCTGCCGGCCACGCTGGCCCCTCACAGCTTAGCTGGAGCCCACTCGTGAGCCCGGACCCACCAAGCATGTTTAGGATGTCAGACAGCCTCTTCCAGACTGGCTGCTATCTTCCCCACAGGGACAGCATCATAGCCAGCACTACAGGAGACCACAGGAAAAGCTCCACTACGGGCCAGCCTCTACCAACACTCAGACTCAGCCACTTCTGTGCACTGGAACCTAGTTCGGCGACCTTTCTGCCCTCCACTTCCTCAAATGTAGCAAAATAAAGTATCTGGTTGATTGGGTTATGATGAAGACAGGCCAGGGAAATTCTAGGAGATGCCTAGGAAAACCTGTTAGGGCCTCTGAAATGTCCCTCTCTTCCCACTCTGAAGGACCGCTCTGAGGTAAGAGGGTGGGTGTAATCTGAGCCATGATTACCACTAAGGTACCACCTAGTGACACATCCCAGGTCTTGTCCACACTGTGTGTTCCCTCTGGCTCTTCGTCCACGCTACACCCGAGATGGGAAGACGCCAGATGGGAACAAGGGGGCACTTACTTGGACAGGCCCTGGCTCGGCCGTCTGACTGGGCCAGGCCACAGCAAAGGTACCCTCAGCAGAACTGGGCTCCCCGGAAGGCAGGACGCCAGCTTGACTCTCTGTGGGCTAGTGACAAGCCACCAGGATGGGGAAGGGTGAGAAGGCCGGGGTGGGGTAGGCATATTGGACAAGGGCAGGAGACAAGAGAGGGTGGTCTTGAGTGGACAGCAGTAACAAGGGATGTGGCCTGGGTTAGCAGCCTGGTCAGAATTTTGTGAGGTCAACTGCCTCCCATTGCTCTGGTCCTGCCACCATCAAGGGGTCAGGCGGGTGTGATGTCACCACATAGCACAGCATCTACCAAAAGGGTCAGATGGCCCTGTCAGCCCACTCCAGCCGTATTTCCCTGGCAATTACAGAAAGACGTGTGTGTGTTTGTGGTGTATGTGTGTGTGGTGTGGTGTATGTGTGTGTGCTATGTGGTGTGTGTGTACATGTGTATGCTTATGCACATATGTGACATAGATGATCTTATGTGTGGAAGCCAGAGGTCCAGCTCTTAGTCTCCTCAGTCACTATACACACACACACACACACACACACACACACACACACACCCTTGGCTTTTCTGAGGCAGGGTCTCTCTCTGAAACTGATGCTCCCTGCTATGTCAGGTAGGCCGGCTGGCAAGCAGTATCCAGAGATGCCCCCACCTCTGCCTCCAATAACAAGTGCTGGGGTTACAAGCTTGGGCCACCATAGTTGGTATCTTTTTAAAAGATTTATTTGCTATCTATTTACATGTATGTGTGTGTGTGCCCGTATAAGTGTACATGTACCAAATGTGTGCAGGGGCCTGCAGAGCCTAAGGCTCAGACCCCACGGAACTGAAATTACTGGCAGTTGTACACCAGCTGGCATGGGAATCAGGACTAGAACCCAGGAAGGGCAGGAAGTACTCTTAACCACTGAGCTATCATTCCTGCCCAATGCCTGGGGTTTTTACCTGAGTACTGAGAATCAAACTCAGCAGCACTTTATAGAACGAAGCTTTTATAGAAACTTTTGAGCCCCCCAGAGTCCTGGCTGCTCTGTGGCCCAGCAGCACCTGCCACACTGGCTGCCCTTGTTAGATTGTGTCCTGGAACCTACCATTTCCTGTAACCGCTTACTGGGCACATTCTAAGTGTGAGTCTCTGAGTCTCTCCAAGTCTCTGAATCCCCATGCCCACTGGGGTGGGTTCCCAGTGTTCTAATACTGCCTTGTAACCAGGACTCCTTGACTCTTCTAGAAGACCTGCTGGCTATTTGTCAAGGTGAACAGCAAGACCTGGACTCTAACCAATGGAGGACACGGTCTTGAGACACCAAGGAGCCCACTCCTGTGGTTCTGACAGAGGGATGGAGTCTCAGTGGCCCCTGTGCACATGAACATGGAGAAGCGACGGTGCCACATGCAAACTGGGTGCAGGGACGAGTGTGCCTCTGCACAGAGAGAAGCAGCCACCAGGGCTGTGGGCACTGGTGCGGAGCAAGGGCGTGGCTTACCTCCCAGAGGTCCCACGGGATTGGCTGAGTGAAGCGGTAACGGGAAAAGGACAGAGTTAGTACAGAGGTTAGAGACAGCGTAGCAAAAGCACACCTAGGGACCCCACCCCAACCCGGCAGGCTCCAAGTTGGGCTCTGAGGGCTTCAAACCCCAGTTCAGAGAGGCCCACAGTCTGGGCAGGATGCTGGAGTGACCGGAGGTTGTGGGACATGTCCGGAGTGACAGTAACCCAGCTAATCCACATCTACTCTGCCCTGTATCCGAAGAGGTAAGAGGCTAGGGCACTGGGAAAAGGCCTAGTGAGCTGTCCCCTCACCCCCGAAGACTTGTGTCTATATGGCTCACACAAGCACAAGGCCTGGTCCTCAGGCACATGAATGGGCACTGGTGGGCACAACCAACCTGACCAGAGGGTGTGGGTGCCTTCACAGGGCTTGCCACTGGCGGAAGGGGGTCGAAGTCCAGGTCTAGTAGACTGGCCTGCTCTGCGAAAGGCCCAGGGGCCTCAAACTTGGTAACAGCAGCAGCAGAGAAGAAAGCAGTTAGTAACAGAATGAGCCTATGCCTTGTGCACACCGAGGAAAATGGAGTCACACACACACACACACACACTTTTGCACACTCGCGTGAAGAAGTATTATCCACAACTACACAAACTAGCACAAGCCTCCAACTGCATGAAGACATCTGATGCCAGCTAGGACATCCAACAACTGGCCAGATTTTCCCAGCAGCCGACAACTCCCATGGCTTCTTGGCCCTTTGCCCCCACAAGCTCACCTGACTTTGCCCTGTGTATCAAGCACAATGCTGTGGCCTGGGCTGAACATGCCCACCTCAGTCTCCCAGCTCAGAGACCCCAGGTCAAAGGTTTCACACTGGCACCTATCCAAATCACTCTTTGGGACACCCCAACCTGTCATCCAACTCTAGGGACAAGGAAAGGGCACCTTCAGTGTGGGATCCCAGTGTCAGGCAGCTGGGGTACCTACATTACAGCTGTAGACAATACCCACAGATACCTCGGGATTCCCTTTTGGGGAACCTGGATGCAGCCCAGCAGTATATATGAAGCTAGATCCCCACCAACAATATAAAGCTCCAATATATGCCATCATGGGAGGTGTCTCTCTCCAGATCCCCGAGAGCGACCCTTGAACAAGTCAGCAGTAGCTGACCAGGACAGGCTTCCAAGTCTGGGCGGGTGCTAGGCAACCACAGTTCCCCAGGGACACTCTGACTTAGCTGCCTTCAAGACATTGCAGACTTGTCTTGCTTGTGGGCTTCCCCCTCAGAGCTCTGGCAGACGCCACCCCAGTTCGAGCAAGGATAGGGTGCAGTGTGCCCTTTCCACAGCCCTCAGGAGATGGCAGAGGGGCTAAAGTCCTGCAAGTTCAGGCCAGCAACTTCTTACCTCCACTTGCTTTCCATGGGGGCCCAACTTGGAGATAACACCCCAGGTCCATGTCCCTCCCGATCAAGAAAGGCTAGAAAGATTGTGATGTGGCCTGCGGCTCTTCAGAGGAGCCTCTATGGTCCTGGGGACACTAAGAGCCCAAACAGCATGAGAATCTGGAATCCCTTTCAGTTGGGTCCGGCCAAGTGGACCCACTTCCCAGAACAAGTGGCCTCTGGTTGACCCTTGGCTGACTCTCCTTCTAGTCCAGCCTTGTCTGAAAGCTGGGTTAGAGACCCCATGGCCATGACCTCAGGATGTGGAGGTGCCTGAGGCACCGCTGTCACACAGGCACCAGCCTCACCCCTTCTGTACTCCTTAGAAGTCACCCAAGCCCAGACAGCAATACTCCTGGAACCCCGTCGGGGGAGGCCCACAATCAGGGTGTTGCTCGCCTCCTCTCAGGCCTGCCTCTGGCAAACGACTCTTTCCCACACAAGACCAAGACACTGCACGGGTGCAGACTGCTCACCACCTCACACACCAAGCAGCCTGTTGGCACAAGCACCGTGGACGACGTGAGCCCTCCCCCACGCATGCAATACCACCCAAAGCATTCTCCCACCCCGACAGACCGGTAGTCCCGGCTCCCTGCGGATGGAGATGAGAAGCAGCAAGCAAGGCGTGCAATGACATGGGGGGGGGGGGGGGGGGGGGGGGGGGGGGGGGGGCAGGCAACATGGAGCCTGGTGGGCCATTCAGTGGCTCCCTCTGACACATGACCATGGGAAGCTCAGCAGGTAAACGGAGTATGGCCCCTCACAGGGGATGTTGAAAACCAAACAAGATGGCATAAGTAAGTAGCTATGACATCTCCCCCCAGCATCTACTAGCTCCCATGATATCCCATATCTCTCACCCTAAACACATGCCGGCCACCTGCCCAGGCACCCTCAAGGCACAGGCACGCTCAGGAAGGAAACGGCCCCACAAGGAGCGAGCCTGGAGATTTTCAGCCCCATTCCCACACTGCCTATTCCTACTGGCCTCTGGATCACCTTCTTGCATAGAGGAGCTTTGGTCCCACCCCCTAAGTCCTTCCATGGAAGCTAAAGGCCCACCCTCTCTAGGTTCCTGTTGTAGTGGTCCCTGTTCTCCATTCCAAGCTGCCCCTTCCACAGTCCTAACCTCAGACCCAGGCCCCCTTCTCCAGATATCTGGGATGTACAAATGATCCTGGGGAAGGTAGAGTCTAGAGACACCTGTGAAGGGAAGGGATCTGGCCAAGTCCCCCAGGATCTAGGATAGCCACCTCCTCGAAAGGGAAGCCCTGCACAGGGTGGGAGGCTAGGAGGCTTAAGGCCAGCTTGAAGCAGGGAGCTGATCACCCCAGGCTGCTCTGATCGTGTGTCCGCCTGCTCCAGTCTTAACAAGATGTTTTCCCAGCACAGAGGGTGCCTCTGTCTTTGTCTCCACCTGAGGGTGGGCATTTCATGACACTTACAAGCAGCAGCGCCGACAGATTAGTCCCTGCACCTTGGTCATTACAGTACCCAACAGGGATCTGCCTGACTCCCACCTGCACCACTTGGTGAGTCAGTCTCTTGTCCCTTCTGGCCCAGTTCTGATAGCTCTAACTATAACAATGCCTGCGACTCCTTCCCAGGCAAATGTCACCTGCACCAGAGAACGCCCTGTGGCTGCCCAATCACTCCATGTCCCCATTATGTCACCAATCAGTGTGAAGTGACAGCCAAGCTGACCACCGCCATGAAGAACAGGGAAGACCTGTCGTTAGCACGTCCCTTTATCCCGCCATGGTGCATGCTCAGGTGGGTGGGATGGATAATGATGGGAGAATGATGAAAAGGGGGGGATGGATGGATCAAAGATGGAGGCTCCCGCCCATCTCTCCAGCCAAATTCTTGGCTCTTGAGAGAAGCTTGGAGCTCGGGGTGGACGATGGAAGGCCATGCATGCTGTACGAGAAAGAGTGGCAAGGGGAGAGGACTGGGCCGCGGTGGACACGGCTGACCTGGGAGGGGGTGGTCACGCTGATCTCGGGGACAAATGCGTCATCAAAAAGGCTGAGAATCTGCTCCTGCTTCATCTCCTTGGATGGGGTGTGTTTGGGAGGCGGAGGGACAGGTGGGCCTTTCCGGAGCTGTGGGCCAGCAAGGGAGGAAGCATGGGAGGCATGACGGAGCACAGTACGGGAGACAGAGACAAAGCCATGGTTACGTTAGTCAGTCACTCCCAGGCAGTGGGGGAAAACAAACAAGTCATTGTTCCCCTAAACAGACACCAAGGGAGCAGGCCACCCCAAGAGAAGAAACCAGGACTGGAGGTCCAAAACCACTGTGCGAAAAGAAAGGAGAAAGAGGGAGGAGACAGAAACAAAGGGGGTAAACAAAGGCAGAGCGAGTGACCCATCAGGTCTCAATGCCTGACATGTCCCCGTAGCCCACTGGAGGAAGGTCTGCCCTACTTACCTAGGAGGGAACATGGAGTTAAAGGCCGCCTCCCCTGCCCATCCCTTCCCCCCAGAGGCCTTACCTCCTCTTCCCTAGGCTGGGATTGCCCAAAGGAGCTCCAGCTCAGGCTCGGGCTATGCCTACAGAAGCCAGCCTGAACTAGGTCCCCACAAGGACCGCATATGTGTAGATCGGGTGAAGGATTGCCCTAATCTTGACTTCTACCACTTGCCCAAAGGCAGTGAGAGACCCAGTGAACAGAAGGGTGTCCAGCCCTAGCCTGGGACCCAACCTCAACAAGGGCAGTACGTTATCAGGTGTGGGTTCTTACTGCCACTCTTGACTTCCTGCCCTAATTTCCCATGGCCAGAAGCAAGAGGACTCAATTCTTTCAACCAAACCCAGGTGCTAGCTCCTGGGACCTCTGGGGGAACCCAGAGGGCTTGAGGACAGGACAGGAACAAAGGAGAGACTGAGGCCATGTACCTGTCCCCCCCCCACCCGCCTTTCCTCACAGAGCCCCTTCTCTTTCTGTTCCCTGATGGCCCTGTGAGGCCATCTGATAGGGTTTTTCCCTCAGTCCCTACCAGACAAAGGGCAAGACCTCCTGAATCTGGAGAGAGACTGGCTACTCAGAGGCTGAACATCCAGAGAGCTAGGGAGGATGGAAGAAAGAGTCAAGGCGACAGGACAGGGAGACGGGAAAGGGGAAGATGCTCACTTCTGTGGAATGTTTACAGAAACCATCGTCAAGCAGACCAGGAACACCGAGAAAATCTAGGTTCAGAGTAGCCCAAGGAGACTGAGGTCAGAACCAGTCCTCCACGGAGCAGAACCTCAGGCTCAAAACCTGTGTGGCCCCAGGTAGGGGATGATGGAGAAAGGGGAAGGGACAAAAGCAACAGAGGAAGAGAAGGAAAAGTTCAGGTCGTGGAGGCAGCAAGCATGCCTACCTGAGATGGGGACTTGGGGATGGTGGCTCCCGGTGATGCCCCACCGGCCGGCTCTGGCTCATGGTTCACTCTGATCTCGGGGGTAGCAGCAGGGGAACCATCTGGAGGAGGTGAAGGGCTCTTGTTCCCCTTTTCAGGGGCACTGTCACTGCAGAAGGACAAAAGGAGAATGATGTCAGTGGGACCAAGGGCTAGAAGACGCGGAGCAGTTTGTGAGCGCCTTGTGGGTGCCCGTGGGGAATGACATGTGTGTATGCGCCAACTCCACGGATTCACATGTGGAGCCGTGTACCTATGTGAGCTCCTGGGATCCGCGTGTGAAGCTGTGTGGATGAGTAAGCCCTGTGGGCCTGTGTGTAAATCAGTGCATCTATGTGTGAACCCCATGAATCCATGTGTAAAAAAATATAAAATTGTGTGCTGATGTGTGTCCTGGGCATCCCTGTCTGGAACTGTGTGCACGTGTAGACTGGAAGCGAAAGGAACAAGGTGTGATCCTGTATGGTTCATAGGGGGCTCGCCTTCAAAGCAGGGGTGAACCAGTAAGAACCAGTCTCTTCCCCGCCTATGTCCAAACGCCCAATGTCCACAGCACAAGCAAGCCATACTTCCTAGAGGCAAAGTGAGTCTCTCTTTCCTCAGACAGCAGCCTGTCCACTCAGGCTCCTCCCCTCTGACCTGTTCCAGCGGCCTTCCTGCCTACACAGATCAGACCACAGCCCAGGAGCCCTCGCTACCTCTGCACTTTCCTTCCCATGGTTCCTCAACTTAGTGCACACCCTGGAGAAACGGCTCCATGCTGGTGGCTTCACTGCAGAGAAGTGACAGCTGAGAGAGGGCAAAGCGAGCAGCAGGGTCCACTTGGGGACATGAAGGGTCGGGGACACACACTGCAGCCACTGGACATGCAGGAGCAGGGGTCTATCAGTGCCTGCGAAAGGCGACAGGCAGCAGCCACCATTAAATTTACTCAATCTAAATAAATTAGCATCACCATCATGGCTTCCAGAATCAAAATGCACACATTCCAGCTGCTCAAGAGCCACTTGTAACTATCAGCTATGGTGCTGGCATCTGAAGATCTAGACATTCTAGAAGGACCACTAGGACCGGTCCCCCAGATGCCTAGTCTGAGGAGGCCTTGATTTTTAGGGGGGTGCACTTGCCTCCCTAAAGAATATATAGCAAAGTAGAATACAGTGTAATGGGGTTGCTTTCAACAGTGGGGCTCCTTGTCCCTACTCAGTACCTGTGTGCTAGTGGACTCTAGGGTGTGCACAGGACAGGGGTACACTAACCCTCCAACCACCCGCCTTGTAACTCCTACCTCCCTCACATCCCAGGTCCTCCACCCCCTCCTGACACATGTCCCCAAGCAACAGGGCACACCGGCAGGTTAGGGGTTAGTGAGCCCTTCAGCAGGGCACAGGTCACAAGGCACATGCGCAGTCAGGGTGGGGCCCAGAGGCCTACGGCACTGCACTCAATGGCGGCGGTACCTGTTCTTCTTTCTGCGCAGCCGTGAGAACAGTTTAGTTTTCTTTCTGTGGGAATGGTGGGGTGTGGGTGCTTCATTTGGAGGAGGAGCCATGGGAACTAGGCCTTCCTCTGCCGCCTTCTCCTCCATCTCTGCTCAGGGGCCTCTAAGAAATGACCTACCCTCTACCTGCTCCCTAACTTGCCCTTAGTCTGGCCCATCCAACCTGTCTGACCTTCCCACGCTGCCCTCAGCCCATCCCTGTTCTCCACCTGTTCTCGGCCTTCCTCCCTCTGCCCCTTCCCCCAGGATTTTTCCCCATCCTCAGCCTGCTCCTGATACGCCTGCCTTCACCTTTATCTCCCCTAGCCTCCCATCCCAGGACTCGCCCCCCACCCCGCCCTCAATCTGTACCCCATGCTCCTCCTGTCTGTCCTCTGCCCAGTGTAGTTGCTAGCCAATCCTGGAAGGCTACAGGACAGCAGGGTGGGCCACAGATGGGCTACCTTAGTAGAGAGTACAGACAAGCACCTGCTCACCCAGCCCGGGCCCCACAGTCTTTCCAGCTGGGTAAGGTCTTCCTAAAGTGACCACAGACTCATATCTGCTCTCATTCCCCTCTTCCCCCCCCCCCCCATGCTCCCCAGGACACCTGCAGGCTCCTCTTTGCCAATTGCATGTTTTATTTTTAGGGCAGAGAAAAGAAGACTGGTTCACTGAAACCCTCAAAGTTCTGGGCCGGGGACCAGTTACCCGAGAAGCAGAGACCTCGCAGACACGTGGCTTGCCATGCCCACGCACTCAGTCAAACGTACACACACATACACACCCCTCCCCCTCTTTCCTTCACTCACGTGCACATGTACACACACACACACACACACACACACACAGAAGGAGTGTAATACCAGACTACAGGCTGCTTCTGATGCTTCCTCTCTCCCTCAGGGGACAGGACCCCCTAGCAGCTGCCCAGGAAAGGCAGCAAAGGACAAAGCATGGAGGCACCGACCCCATCCTTGACCCTCTCTCCTTGAGCAGGAGGAAGGAAGGCTGATGTGCCAGGAACCACAACCTCTGTCAACAATCAAGCTCCGCCTCCACCCTGTCCTCTACCTCTACTCTACCTCTATCTACAAAGGCTGAGGCATTTGCAGGCCCCCTGGCCACATTCTTTCCTCCACAGAACAGGACTATAGGAGCTGCTTCCTGATGCCAGGGGGCAGAGAGCTAGGGAGGTTCCTGGAGATTCAGGGTCGAACCCGTGGAGAACAAAGGGGACAAGAGAGAGTCTCAGGAAGTAGCTGCCCCTGTGGTGCTGACCATCAAGTCCCAGGGCCCCGCAGACCTCACCCCCCCTGCCTTGACCCACCTGGGCTGGGCCTTGACTGTGAAGGTGTTGCTCCCATGTTGCTTCTCCAGGCTGACCAGGACGTCGTTAAGGTTCTGATTGAGCTGCAGGAAGAGGGAACAGAAGCAGGCTTGGACAAGCACATCTCCTGCAGGAATCCCCCTTTTCCCTCCCTGCCACCCCTGCCTCTACCAGGAGTGAGCTCCATTGACCCCCATCGAAGGAAGACCAACACAATGAACCCCAGACAACCAACAGCGTAATCGGGGACATGAGCTCATGAGCTGGACTGCCGACAGCTCCTATTTCTGAGGGCCACCTTTTCTCTCTTGCTCTTTAAGGGGATATCCTAAATGCCACAAAAAAAGCCACTGTTTTCACTTTTTCCCAGTCGGGGAAGAGTTGAGCATTTGCCTAACGTGGCTTTGCACGTGCTAGGTAAATGTTCTACTACTAGGCCACGTCCCCACCTCTTTGTCCATTTCAGTCGGAGATAAGGTCTCGCTAAGCTGCCTGAAGCCTCAACCTTGCTGGATTTCCAGCACAAGGAACTTCATCATTTTATTTCTTAAAACTCATTTCTGAGTCTACAGATTTAATGTTTGTTAACCCTAGTTATTTAGGTCATTTTCGCAAGAAGCTTCTCGACTATCCTACAACTTCCAGAAATTTCTCCAAAACGCAAGAGGGTTGCCCCACGCAGATCATGGGTCTCATCACTAACAACATTTCTCTTTTTGCTTTGGCCACTAGGAAGTGCAGAGATAAATTCTTTTCCTACTTAATACATAATTGTGCCTTTTTGTGCCTTGAACTAACTTTGAATAAAGGTCTCTTTCCCTAAAATACCCGTTTTGAATTTTTTTTATTTTACATATTTATTACTAGGGGCCAACCCTGTAGAGTCAATTCTCTCCTTCTATCATTATTTCAGTTGCAGGGACTAAACTCATGTCACCGACAAGGCCTATGTGACAAGCACCTATGCCCACTGAGCCATCTTGCCAGTCCTAAGTGTTGTAGGCTTTGCCTCAAGTCTTTAAGAAGGAGGAGGAAAAACAGGAAGAAAGGAGAGGCCTTAAACAGTAGGCTGTGGTCAGGAAAGGGCCCCAAACCGACTTGTTCTCTTCAGTCCCAAAACCTGGGATCCACCATCATCACTTCATTCCTCTGAGTCCAAGAGACAAAGTCACAACAGCCACCAGGAGTGGGAAAGCTGCCCCAGAACGTGTCTCAAGTGGCCGTTACTCAGCTTCCATTCTAACACAGCATACAAGTGTGAGGTGATTTGCCCCTCCTATGCCAGATTCAGGAAGAGAAGCAGCCCATTTCACTATCTCAAGAAACACAGGAGACTTTTTTATCATTATAAAAATTCCAGTAACTTATTTATTATTTTCCTATAGATCGAGGAAAATATCCATCAGAGTTGCCTGAGAAGATTGTTAGAGTTGGAGAAGGGGCGGATCATATTTCAGCAACATGGATCCAGGCAAGAAGAGAAGGACAAGGCATGGCAGGCTGGGGCTGGACTGGAGCACCCACAGCCGTCCCCACTGTGCCCAAGCTCCCCATCCCTGCCTTTGACTGACCCCCTTGTCCTGCAGGATCGCTCTGGCCTACCTTACTCATCTCTTTATGGAAGTTTTCCTCCAGGCCCGCGATGCTCTGGAACGTGTTGACATAGAAACCTACACGGCTGCCGGAGGGAGAGGAGGCGACATAATGAGAACCACATGTGACTGCATGCTGCATCCTCAGAGGCGCAGAGCCGTGGAGTGGGTAGGCGGACACAGGGTCGGGCTGGCCGCCAGGTATACGGACCCCTCCTGACTTCACCTGTTCCACAGGGATGGCAGCTCCTCCTGCAGGTCCACGTTCATCTCCTCGAACACCTTCTGGGCTTTAATGAGCTCCTCCTCTGCCTGGGATGGAGAGGCAGTGGAGTCCGTTAGCCTGCGCTTGGAACTCTGCCCTGGGGAGCTGAGGAGGGTACCAAACAGCTGGTACCCTCTCCTGCTTGAATGCAGAACCCAGGGCCTAAGCAGGATAGACACTAGGCTGGATGTAGCTACCCACCCAGAACTTTCCACTGGAGACCTGAGGGCTGCAACAGCTGGGCCTAAGGGGACACTCTGGGAATGGGAAGGCTGAGCTGTCACTAAAAAAGGAGGGTTTAGAGGGAAGGCCAACAAGACGACTGGAGACAAGGGCTGGGGAGATGGTTCAGCTGGTAAAGTACTTGCAGGGTAAGTAGGAGGACCCGAGTTTGAACCCCAGCGTCCATAGAAAAAGCCTGATGTGGGAGAACACATTTGAAACCCAGCTCTGGGGAGGCGCCTATAGGAAGATCCTTGGAGCTCACTGAATAGCCGGCTGAACTGAACCATGTGCCTCGGGTCCCAGTGAGATATCTGTCTCAAAAAGCTACCGTGGACAACCTCTCAGGGACAGGACTGGAGCTTGATCCCTGGCCTAAACACACATACACAGAGCGGGGGCAGGGGTTGGCCACAAACAACCTAGAGAGCTGGAACACAAAGGCAGACCCCAGACTCAGTGGAGCCCCACTTTCATTAACTCCCTTGAGCCAAGTCTCAGCCCTGAGATTCAGCTAGCTGGCAACTGCTTTCTGTGACCCCTCCCGAAGGTTCCTACTTGCTTTTTTAGGGCCAGAGTCCACTTGGCTTTGGTTTCCAGTTTCTGGGTGAAGCTTTTTTTCCCCCACAAATCCCTCTCCCATGACCTGTTCCCACCAGGGGCCAGAGGCAGTGGCTCAGTACCTCTAAGAAGGACAAAGGAATTAGGCAGGAAGGAAGGAGCTGGGCTGAGGTGTCTGTTCCCAGTACCAATGACTCTCCCGACATCTCTTATTCTAAAAAGTGCCCGCATCCACCAAACGGTGGCGCTAGACCCCACACCAGGTGAGTCACACAGACAGGGCTGACTCAGTCAAGTCTGACACACAACCCCGCAGCCTCCCATTCTAAGGCTGGTGTTGAGCCCACAGCTGGCCAGAACACCACTCAGACAAAAATCACACCCAGCTTAAGACACACCAGGACCTGCCTGCTGAGCACCCAGCCCCAGTGGACCCCAAGCTGAAGCCTTGGGCGGAAGAAGGGACGTCCGTGGTTTCTGATTATCATACATACACTCCCGGTAACACATGGGGCTCCTGGGTGTGTGTTATCAGAATCTAATTAAAAGGGGGGGGGGATACACACGACAAACCTTTAAAAGTGAGGCTGGAAAGAGGGCTCAGGAAATTTGTGGTGCTCACTATGCACGCATAAGGACTTCTGTTTGATCTCCAGAACCCGCTTTAAATTTGAGAGTAGGGAACAGTGAGATTGCTTAGCAGTTAAAGGGGGCTTCCTGCCTATCCAGAGGACCCACAGTCTCCTGGGCCTACTAGTCAGCCATCCCAGTCTATCTGGTGAGTCTCCGGCCAGAGAGAAAGCCTGTCTCATGTGGCAGAACACTCAGCAAGGGGAAGCACTTGCCATGGAGCCTGACAGTCTGAGCTCAATCCCTGAAGCCCATGGAAGAAGGGAAGGGGGGAAAAAAAAACAGCTCCATAAAGTTGTTCTCTGCCCTCCACATATGCATGAACATATTAAAAATTTTTTAAAAAGTAGATGCTGCCTCTGCTCCATAGTTTTATGTCAACTTGACACAAGCTAGAGTCATTTGAGAGAAGGGAGACTCAGCTGAGAAAAAGCCTCCATAAAACGTAGCTGTGGGCAAGCCTGTATGGCATCTTTTAAATTAACAATTAGTGGGGGAGGGCCCAGGCCATTGTGGGTGGGGCCATCCATGGGCTGGTGGTCCTGGGTTCTGTAAAGAAGCAGGTTGAGCAAGCCATGAGGAGCAAGAGAGCCATCAGCATCCCTCTGGGGCTTCTGCATCAGCTCCTGCCTCCAGGTTCCTGCCCTGTTTGAGTTCCTGTCCTGACTTCCTTCAATGATGAACTGTGATGTGGAAGTGTAACCCAAATTAACCCTTTCCTCCCCAAGTTAGAAACCATAACTAAGATAGTACCTGAGGACACTTGAGTCCTCTCTCTCTCTCTCTCTCTCTCTCTCTCTCTCACACACACACACACACACACACACACACACACACACAAATGAGAAGGGAGGAAGGAAATGTCTATCTAAATACAAACAATTCCCTTGGGGCAGCGCAGCTCAGAGCAGCAAGACGCCGAGCACAGAGCCGGTGCCCCAGCAACACTGCACAGAACAAGAGAAGGTCCATTTTTAAGCCCCTGAAGTCAGGGCCTGGGCCCTTTGACTTGGGCCTCATATCCTGGCCTTTTAGGAAGCACTCAGAAGGTAGCTATACACACTATTCCACAAATCCCACAGCCTAGGCAGCACAGAGGAGTGACAGAGCAGGGCAGCGCTGTGGGCAGTGCAGGAGCCCAGCAGCCCCCACGCCCCTCTCCAGTCTAAAAGCAAGGCGCTGGCTAGAGAGACTAGACTGGGCCAGTCTTGGAGGCAAGCCCAAGAGACTCAAGCAAGTCTGGAGAGCTCCCAGGACCAACCAGAGCCACAAGAAGCCTCAGTTCTACAAGCTCAGCTGGAAGAGGATACAATGTCTCCTAAAAAGTCGAGTCCACCCTCAGGGCAGATTACAGTCTCCAGTTTAAGGTCAGAGTCAGCCAACAGCCCACTGGTGACAAAGGTAACTCCCAAGCTGCAACAGTTTTCCCATTAGCATTGGGAGGAGAGGTCCCAAAGAGAGAGAGAGAGAAGTCACATGGGAAAATGAACCATCTATAGCCCAGCATTGAAAAGGTAATCCTGTGCCTCAGCCTCCCCTGCTGCTCTGGCAGAATGAACTGAGGGCCCTCCCGAGCAGGATTCCCCCGCCCACTCCTGTCTCAGGGGCCCTAAAGAATCAGGTAGACTCCATCCCAGGCCCTACAGCATCCCAGGGGCCTCTCCAACCCATTCAGAGTGCTCCTTGCCTTGTAGGGAGGGAACAAACAAACCTGGTCTCAGTTCTCCCTCCTATCCCCTCTCAGCCCATTACTGCCTGATAGTCCTCCTGCTCTGCCTCCCAAGGCTGCCTGGGTATTTTCCAGACCTGTCGGCCCGTGCCCACAGGCTCTGAATGACCAGTCACCTTGATCCTAACCTCAGTGCCTCCCAAGTGAGCCCCAAACCTTGGCCTTCAGGAAATCAGGCAGAGGGTCAGGTTGGAGCGCCCTCCCTCCCCTTCCTGGACATCTGATATATGTGGCTGGCGATGAGGAAATCAGGAGGTGGCCCAGGAAAAATGGGGCACTGTCCAGGAGAAATCTGACCTCTTCCTGGGTCAAGTCTCAACTACCTGCCTTATCCCTACTACAAAGGGTTTCCTGAGTCTCAGCAAGGTGGGAAGGAAAAAAATGTGATGTATATCTCTTAGTCTACTTGCCTCACCTCCAGCAGACCCCAGCCAAACTTTAGCCAGTTCCAGGTTCAGAATACCAAAAGGACTATAAGATTCACTGGCAGGCCCAGCGTCCAATAGAAACTCCCTTAATGTAACCTTCTTCCCTTATGTAACCACCACAGGACCCATCTGGACCTATCAAGTCTCCCTGATAGGTTTCATATTCCAGTCAGAACACAGAGGACTCCTGGAGTCTCCTCCAGTGGCCAGGTTCTGGGTCCTCTATAGCAAAGACCACCTACATGGAGGCCAGGCCAACGACCAGGGCTGGAGTTATGAGGCCCGCTCAGCTACAGCCAGCTCTGGGATACTGGGAGTAAGAGTACCTCTGGGGGCAGTTATGTCTCCTCAGAATACCCAGATTAATTTTGGAGCTCCAAACAGCTTAAGGAAGCCCCAGAGAGGGCAGATACTCAAAGGTGTTCCTGGTTGGGGCCGTACCGGATGTCAGCCATCTGAAGAAAGCATAGACCTGGGTGGGTGCCCAGGTTAGCCACAACTCCTAGGCCCCAATCCGCCAGGACACAGCGTCAGTTGTCACCTCTATGATAGGAGTCTCAGAGGCATCTAAAAGCCCCACCTCACTCCACCCTATGCCACAGGCCTCCAGCTCGGACCCCAGCCCTGTCTGCCTCCAAACCCCAGAAAGAAGATAAGCCCTCCCTTGTCCTAAGGTAACTTGCAGAGGCCGGGCAGAGAGACACCCAGCAGAGAACAACAGACCAGAAGGCGCCAGCACGTGCAAGGTTAGAAGCCAGTATCACCTGATTTCGGAGCAGGTTAGTTTGAGCTACAAGATGAGCCTGTAGTTTGCCTTGGCACCACTGGGGGGCGGCTTTCTCAAGCAGCGAGACAGGCTGGGGGCAGGGAGGAAGGGAAGGAGAGGTCAAGGCAAAGGAGAATGGAAAGACAGGAGGGAGGTGGGAGGGAAAAAAAACAGAGACATAGATAATTAAACACCAAGCCCACAACCCCACATAGAGACAGACAAGCCAGCCTCTATCCGGAGGCCGGCCGGAAGCAGGTAACGCTTCTCCCCTTCCCAACTCCCGAAGCTGGGAAAATAAGGGAACCCCACCCAAGTGGGCATGGAGAGGGGGGTTGAACTGTAACCGCAAAACAACTATGTAGGAGGAGCTGAGCACACGGGGCTTTGCCACCCACCCACGCACCACCCCTGTGACCAGCCCAAAGGCTTGTTCCAACAACACAGGGTCATATCGGATCCCGTGACAGAATTCCACTCGGTGCATTAAGCAGGATAGCGCCACGCCAGGGAAACCTAAACCGGGTTTATTCTCATTCTGGAAAACTGCCTCAGAGCAGGGCTAAGGGGCAGAAAGAGGCCAGCAACAGCCCCCACCCTCCTGCCTAGGCACCCGAAGGATCTTCGTCTATCTGGCACGGGGCTCAGCACCATCCCCACCCACGACTGGGAACCTTGGACTAACCTCTCTCTGATTCCGTGCCCCTGCCCCAGCCCTTACCTTGGCAATTTTGGCTTCATCTTTCTTTTTGGCGGTTTGAAGAGACTCATAGTGGTGCCGGGCACTGTCATAGTCCACCAGCTTCCGCCCCCGCTTGGCAATGCGAGACTAGGGAGCAGAGGGAGGAGGATTCAATGGGGCCTGGTGCCAAGAAGCCCAGGCTGGGCCCGGAAACCGTAGGCAAGGTAAAACGCAGCAGAACTAAAGTAGACCCCAATCAGGCAGAAGCTCACTCTGCAGGGCAACCAGTCCTCTCTCTATTTCACCCACGTTCCTGGCAACAGAAACTCATCCGTCAGAACCACTTAGCCAATGTCATGTGAGCGAAATCTCTTAAACCGGGCGGGGGGATCCTTAGAGGCACTTCGCAGGCCCCAGATCTTCTCCTGAACCCACTCCATCAGTGGCTTTATACATCTGCACTGGAGTGCATAAGGGAGCTGGCCCTCCCAGCCCTCCTAGGTGCCTCAGACTCCTGAGCCTTTATGGATACAGCTCCTAGGGGTTTGGTAGCATTGGTGGAGACTTCAGCATACAAGGCTCCAAGCATGTATTCAGTTCCAGCAGAAGCAACTGGGTTTCTGAGCATTCAACAAGATAAATACACACAGAGTTAACAGGCAACACACACCCTACCAAATACACAGCGTAAGGCCTTACATACATCCTCACGCCTAAGGTCCTAGCTGAGGTTATATAAGTGGTAACCATTACTGGGGAGAGGAGATGCTCTGGGTAGCCATGCTGCCTGCAAGTTGAACAGGGAGCTCCAGGGATATACCTTTGTAAGTTGTCACTCAGGCTAGGGTAAGCATAACTCCAAGAAACTCAACTAGACTTGGGTGAAATCGTTTCTTTGGTGTATCATCAATGCCCTATATCTCCCCCCTCCCTCCCCCAGGAAGTCACGCAAGCCGGCTGGTGGCTGGTCACAGAGAGACCAGTACTGAAGAGACCAACTGCCAGGCTAAGCAGATACCTGACCACAGGGCAGCCACCTCCGGCCTGAGCCAGTCCTGCATGACAGGCTTCCCAGACTCCAGCTCCTTCTGTAAGTTCCAAGCCACCAAAGCAAGACAGTGGACAAAGAGGCCTCTTACCTTGATGTCAGGGAACTGGCCCAGGTAGGTGTCCATGGTCAGCAGAGCCTGATCCACCAGCTTCTGGTGGTAGTCCATCCATAGTAGGTCATTGTTCTGAAAACACAGGAACAGGGGTGCTTCAGAGAGCTAAGCCACACAGTCCCCAGCTCATGTCCCTGAACCCATCCCCTCAAAGCTCTGTGGATTCTCAGAGCCTTGGTTTCCTGAGGTTGCAGTGTCCCTAGGATGACAGAAAGGCTCAAATACAGTAAAGACTGGCAGGGTCCGCCATAATCCACTTTCGCAAACTCCAGCGTGAAGAGTACCAAAGGCACAGCCTGAAGAAAAGGAAGGCAGCTCGGCCAAGGCGAGGTGACAAATGAGTCCCGGAGAATCTGGTGCAAGCTTGCACCAGAGGGTGAGACATCCTGGGAAAGGGAGCTGAGGCCAAAGGGTCCCTGGGGGAAGAACCAAGGCCACACTCCCAAACTTACCTCTGCAATCTTGTTTGCTTCATCTCTGCCAGGCCACTCGGGCTCATACACCTCCTGGAGACACTCACTCAGCTTCTTGGAGGCTTCGTGCATGGCTGTGGGGTAGGGAGAAGGTACATGGACTCCCACATGTCATCTCCCATCTGGACATCAGCGCCACAAACGTGGTCCAGCTGCCCCAAAGCTCTGCAGCCCCAGCTCCTTGCAGACAGATGTACCCTACCTTTAACAGAAGCCAGGTAGGTCCGGAGATCCTTCTGCAGACGGGTACCCTCTGTCTGCCAGAAAAGCCAAGAACTAGGTCAGGGTCTGGGGACACCAGTCACCACCCCTATCCTTCCTATTACCCATCTCATGACAAACCAGGCTTCCCTCTTGCCAAGGGCAACCAACCCATGTTCTCTCTGCAAGCAGGAGCCTCAGAGCATAGCAGCTGCAGCCCTCTGGCCATTGTTACTGTCATTGCTACTCTCTTCATTGGGAGCCCCACAGCTCAGTGGTGTCCCAGGAAGCAACCATCTTGCCTCTTCGCTCTCTGGTGGAGAGGGAAGGAGACATGGCCACAACCACCCACAGGAGACCTAGAAGGTGCAGGACTCTGACCTGAAAATTATCTCTGCCCATACTGGTCCACCTCCAGGAAGAGCGTTCAGGGACTCACCACCTTCCTGGCTCACCCCAGCACCCTCCAACCTCTACTGCCCCGTGCCAGCAGGTCCTTCCTCTTCCTCTGGGCTCTGCATTTCTCTTCCTGGTACCCACAGCCCTGTGTACCACCCCATCAACATCAGTACAACCACTTGACAAGGATGCTGTGAGGTCAGCTAGCCTCTCAACATCACTATCACCACTTGACTAGGACGCTTATCACCACTTGACTACAAGAGTGCTAAGAGGTCAGCACTCAACACTGTACAAAGTCCGGGAGATTCAGGAAGCGCCTGCAGCCAGCGGGTTTAGGCTAGGTGTGTAACTGGTTACAATGGCTTCCAAGAAGTTCCTGAAATGTACAGATTTATAAGGTCCCTCCCCAGTGTTATATAAACAGTAACCGGTGCTGGGGAGAGGAGATTCTTCAGCCAGCCACACTGCCTGCGAGTAAGGAGACTCCAGGGATACAGCTGTGGTGAGTCATCACCCACGCTGGGTGGGCTTTTCAGGGCACAGCTGCCTTTGAGTCACCCGGGCTCGCTCCAGTAAACTCACGGGTTCACCCCACTAGACTCGGGAGGAATCCTTTTACTGTTTTGTCTTCCGTACTCCATCACACATCTCCTGTCACACAGCTGAGGACACCGGCAGTGGCAGTTTAAGAAAAACACGTGAAACGCCACATAATATAACAGAGAGAATGAAAGGAACAAAATCCCTCTCTGACACACTTTCAGTGCCCCTAGAGGACAGCTGTACACTGAGAAGCATCAGGGATTCATCTGGGAACCCTGTCAGACACCCATACCCACAGATGCACAAGCCGAGGACACAGAATCTGCACAGGACCCACGAGTCCTCCTGTGCACTGTACCCATCTCTACACTACTTATAATGTGAAGGAGACACAGAGCACCGAATTGCTTTTGCTTGTACAGTCTTGTTTGTTGTTCTTGTTGTCTGGATTGTTCTAGAAATATCTTCGCTCTGCAGTTAGTGGAATCCACAGATCAGCAACACTTAGATGATGGAAGCGGACCACCTGGCATGTAACCCTGGTCAGATGTAAGCCTGAACACCCAAGTTCAAGGCTCCCCGAGTACAAATGAAATGAGGAAACAAAAGCCCGGCCAAGAAGTGTTCTGAGACAGGATCCAGAGCTTGCAGGACAGGAGGAATCCCAGCTCTCCCAAGCTTCCCCACGTTAACACCTTCAGTGCTTCGCTGTTATAGATGAAGATTAAAGAATGCTTGCGAGGTGACGCTATACTGTCTCCCGATGCCACAGAACCTTCCAGACCCAGCTTCTCTTCCTGTTCGGCATCCCTCATCCCAGCCACACCTTTGTCTTCCCTTCCTATCTCCTGCTAACACCTCCCCCTACTGTACCCAAGCATGAGGTCCCCCTTGGGTTGGCTATGCATTTACTGAATTTACCCAAGCTGCCGGCTGTACCAAGGCCCCCTCTGCCTCCCAGACGCTGAGCAAGGGGTTACCCAGAACAGCCACCCCTAACAGGACAGCTGGGCTACAGTTCTCAAGAACTTCCTGGTTTCAGGTCACAATGCCAACAGAGTCCAGCTGGGGAAGAATATTCCAGGCCACTGCTCAGCTGGGCCCACAAGTGTTACTTAGTAAGGAGCTGAGCCCGCCAGAGGAAGCCAAGCCCAGGCAGCCTTCATACACCCCTGCTGGGCCTTCCTCCCAAGCCCAGGCAGCCTTCATACACCCCTGCTGGGCCTTCCTCCGTTCTCAGTCCCACCCTAAGCCTCCAGAGAGAGGTTCCCAACTCCAGTGGTTTCCAGGAGCATTGGGCTTCAGCCGCAGTCCTTGCTGCTGGCATTCAGTGTCAGGGACAGGCTTTCACATCACAGTGAGCCCCAGAGTCCAGCAGTCCAAAACCAGAACGGCTCTACAAGTGGGAGCTCAGCCTGGAAGCCTGCGACGGCTTCTTGAAATAAAGTAATGCTCGCAAGATATGTTAGAGTCAACCACAAGGCGGCTCCGATATGAGCCAAGCCTAAGGCAGTTCCTGTACATTACTACCAGCCCTAAGCTGTGAGCTCCGGAAGCCCAGAGCTAACACCCACTGGAACAATACGAAAAAAAACAGAACTGTGGAGGCGGCCCCAGAATTGTGCTCCCGAGACATGGCATCTCAAGCCTCTGCAGGGATCCCCATTGGCAAAGGGACTCTGAGAGTGGCCTCCCTGTGACTTTGGCTCCAGCAACCATTGCATTTCCTGCACCTTTGCTGCACTGGTCGGTACTGATCATTGCGCTCAAAGACCATCGGGAACTTCCAAAAGCACCATCCTCCCCAGCCTGCCACAGCTGAAGGACTCAGAAGCATGGGTCAAGCCTGCTCCCCAAGTGCCTTCACTGGAGAGGATTCCCCAGTGGAATTGTCTGCCGAACGGTTTGCCACTTGGTGTGAGGCATCTGTTTGCATGAGACTACCATAATCTTTGTATAGCATGGCGTTGTAAGAAATGTTTGTGTGGATAGACTGAGCATATTCGAAAAGCAGACCTCAATCCTAACTGCCAAGCGCCTCACAGCCTACCAGCTCTGCTCAATACAGTCAGTCAGGACAGAGCAGAGGTCAACTACTGTGACTAGCACCAGCTGGGTCCAAAGCGAGTCATTCAGCTAGGTCACCTTGAGAGGAAGTAACATCAGAGGTGACAAGAAGGAGTAAGGAGACCTACTGCCCTGAAGACCCAACACACTGTCAGCCTTAAAGTAACCACCCAAGAGTTGAGCTCACGATGCTGAGGGCGCCAGCCAGAGGAACAGGAGAAACTGTAGCTCTCACTTCCCACACACCCCCACCCCAGCTCTGATCCCAGGCCTGTAGGCTGGCAGAGAACCAAGCTCACTGCAGCTCCTGGATTCTCTCCCTCAAGAATAGACAACAGCCCCCATGCCCTTTGCAATCCACTCCTCACCCCCAACCCCTTGCCGAGTCATCCCTCACACACCAGGCCATTCCAGACCTGTATAACCTCCAAGGGAGGGCCACTGAGATGCAGAGGAGACGGCAAAACCACACTCTCCACACTACCTCTAACCCTAAGCAGTCAGACGCCACGCCAGCCCAGGACAACCTGAGCCCCAGTTCAGGTGAACCTCTATGATTATCTTTAGTCTCTGGGCCTGGCCCCTCAGTACCTGCCCAGGAGTACCGAGAGAGGGCTTGCTCAGGGGCAGACACCGAGCACGAGTGACCCTGATGTGGCTGTAAAGTAGGCATTGAAGATTACCACCAACAGAAGTCAACCAGCAGAAAGACACCCTTTCTAGCTATGGCTGACCTGTAACAGAGCATCGTAGAAAAAGCGCATCAGGTATAGCCATCCGCATCTGCCCAGTGCAAGTGTCACTGAGCGTCTAACTCTTCCCAGCTCCCTAATCCACATCCTCACTCATGAGTTCTCTGTTACTGTCCATGGGTTAATGGTTCAATTCCTTGTTCTGGTACATAACTTAGAAACCCCAAGCCCATGCCTATAAACACTGTGGGAAGCATAGGAAGAGCTGCTCTCTTGGGCCAGGCCATAGGGACCCCAGCTCCCACTCTGTGCTCCACCCCCACCAGCCCAGCCTGCTTTAAAGAGACTTCAGCATTCTCACTCCAAGCTCACCACATCTGGTGGCCCTCAGGGCAGGGTGAACTTGGGAGAAACTTAAAGGCCCAGAGTTCTAATTTTAATCTCCAAGCCCCCTAAACTAACCATGTGGCCTTAACTGCCCAATAAAGCCCAATGTTTCTTCATCTGACAATAAAGAAAACAGCTGGAGCCGAGGGGTTAGCTCAGTGGGTAGAGTGCTTGCCTAGCATACACAAATCCCTGGGTTCGATCCCAAGCACACATAGAGTGTGTAGTAGAGCAAGCCTAGAATTCCAGCACTCAGGGGATAAAGGCGGAGGGGTCCGGGTCAGTCTTGGGTACAGAATGAGTTCAAGGGCATTCTGGGATACAAGCGACTCTGTCTCAAGAGAAAAACATTTAAAAACGATATGGGGCTCCTTTCAAGGCTGACCAGGCTATGCATGGCCCACAGTAAGTGCACAGGTAACGGCAGTCTCCAAAAGGGTTTCAGAGCCTGAAGGAAATACTAATTAGGGGACACCCTGCCTTATGCTAGACAAAATCAAAGGCCAGGGCTTAGGTTTTCCAGGTGACAAAAATAAGGCGGCAAATGTCTCCTATCAGGGAACCTACTCAGGCCTTGAAACACCTCCCATTCCTGGCCCAAGGGACAAGCAGCCATAGTGGCTCCCATTCCTGCCTTGGAGAACCTCTTGGATTAGACATCTCAGGTAAACTAGGGTAACTTATCCTTAAGCCCTCTCCTCACATGCTTCCCAACCTTCTCCCAGCATCATCCTTGGTCTCTCCCAGCATGCATCAGCCCTCTCCCAGCATGCTTCAGCCCTCTCCCAGCATGCTTCAGCCCTCTCCCAGCATGCTTCAGCCCTCTCCCAGCATGCTCCAGCTCTTTCCCACCAATGCTATCACTCACACCCATATCCCAGGCCCAGGCCAATGAGACCCTTCTGGGTCCCAGTGCAGCTGCAGAGGCTTTGATGGGCACCTTTAAAGCTATCAAAAACCTCAGTTATAGACCGTGTACCATAAGGTTGGAGTCTACCATTTTGGGGCCAACTCTGCCCCGTTTCCAGCAGAGCCCTAAGCTCACCTCCCATATCCTGCCCCATCCCTGTGGCCTCAAATTCTCACGGGACCATCCTGAAGCTGCGATAGGCCAGGACTCAGTTCAGCCTCCCTCCTGCTACCTTGCCCTTTGCCCACTCCCATCATGGATGGTGTAGGTCTTCTCCATTTGGGATGCTCAAGGTACTGCCTTTAGTAGGGAAGTCCTCCCTTGTCTCTAATTATTGCCTCCAGGCTATCTACTTAATTAAGCCTGGAACGTGTCCTTGCAAGGATGCCCTCAAAGTGTGTCCAGGCTTTGGAACCAAACAAATGGCCCCTGAATCTACCTCCAAAGCTGGACGGCCTTGGGTAACTGGCCCTACTTCTCTGAGGATCACTGCTTGATACAGGAAAGGGTAACGCTGAGACAGCAGCTCTCCAGTATTGTCTGGAGATATACACAGATATCTACAAAGGACCAGCTGGAACCTGCCACACGGCTGGGCTCTCATCATGTCCGGATGAAGCCTAAGTCAAATCCAGCCTGCTTGGACCCCCACATGAAATGCCACAGATGCCCCCTCTCCTAGCAAGAAGTTCCTCTAACTCCCACTGGCCTTGACGGTCTGGCTACAGTACCCGGCCCTTTCGGCCTTCCTCTTCCCTGCTTCTCACTGTAAGTTTTCCCAGAAATCTGGCCTCTTCTCTCTCATGGTCTCAGCCAGGACCAGGGCAAGTCCCTCCACGAAGTCCTTCCCGAACTCACCAACCCACACCATTCCCCATCCTGGGCTTTCCTCCTCCACAGGTGTGGTCCTCACCATCCCCTACCTGGCAGCTGCTGCTCCACCTCCAATACTCACCAGCTGCTTATTGAAATTCTGGACGCACTGTTCAAACTGCTCATCCTTAGTCTCATCCGCCTTCCCCAGTTTCTGCAGGACCTGCCGGCACAGAGAAAAGGGAGGGTCATCAGCTTAAGAAGCACAGGGGCTGGAACAAGGACGCTCAGTCACCGAAGGATGGGGCACAGGGGCCATGAGTGTTATCTTAACAAAGCAGTGTGGGCAGGTAAGAGCCCATGGACGGTAAGAGCCCATGGACAGTAACCAGGCCAAGAGGGCTTTTTCTTCACGGATAAAGAACGGATGTCATTATTAATGGATTAGGTCAGTTACTGAGAGTGGTTTAGTTGTGTGGACTCCTCAATATTCACACATAATTGGCTCCAGGACTCTGTTCCAATACCAGATTCCATGGGTGCTCATTCCCTGTATAAAACTGTAGTATTACATAGTCGCGCACACATCCTCCCTAAACATATCAGTGTGGATAAGCACCTCTCCTAGAACTGTCTTCCAAAGGCCCATGCATTAACTTAGTCTCAAGCCTATGGTTCCACTGGGATATGGTAGAACAATTAGGCGGAGTTTAAGTGGGAGAGAGTTCAGTCATTAAGAACATGCCCCTGGAGGGCTGACCAGGACTCTGCCCCCTTCTCTTTCTTTTGCTTCCTGGTTGCTACGAGATGAGAAACTTTTCATCCATGTGTTCTCCCCATATATGACATACAGGCTCACCCTGGGCCCAAAAGCAATGAGTCAAACCCACTGAGGATTTTAACTGCTAAACCCCTAACATGTGTACCAAGCAGGCCTGTCCTCTTTTGTGCTGTTTTTTGTTTGCCTCTTTTTAATTGAAAAACAATTTTTCATATAATATATTCTGATCAGATTTCCTCTCCCCCAACTCCTCCAAGAACCTCCCATCTCCCTACCCCCCTAGTTTAACACTTTTTCTCTCCCTCAAAAACAAAAACAAACAAACAAACACACATACACACACAAATCAGGTATCTAAATATACAAGCAAAGACCAATAAGACACCCACAAATAAACAATATGGGACAAAAAAAGTATACAAGACCATAGAGTTTGCTTGCCGGTCTACTGCTGGGCATGGGGTCTATCCCAAAGTGTGGTTAACATTCCCAGTGAGACTCCACTGAAGATGGGTATCAATTGCAGACTGCTTCTTGTTAGGAGTGGCAGCCCTTGTCCACATCCCCTTCCCTGCGCTTGGCATGCTGCCGCAGTATCTAAGGGCTCCTGTGCACATCAGTCCTGCTGTGTCTGGAGGACACAGTTTTTATGGAGTCATCTCCGGTTCTCACAATCTTTTGCCTCCTCTTCCCCATAGATCCCTGATTCCCCTCCATAGATCCATGATCCCGGAGGGGAGAACTTGATGAAGATGTATGACGTAGGACGGAGAGCTTCAGCATCTCTCACTCTCTGCACACTGTTGCATTGTGAGTGTCTGTATTAGTTCCATCTCTGATGATGGCTGAACAAAGAACAGATCTATGGGTGTGACAGAATGCCATAAGTAGTCATTTTTTCACTACTTTCCTTTAGTAAAACAGTAATACTTGGTTTTATCTTAGATCCATGGTCTATCCAGTTTCAGATTCTTGGCTACCTAAGCAGTGCCAGACATGGGTTCTATCTCCCTGAGTGGAGCTAGTCTAATCAGAGAGTGGTTGGTTACTCACTCACATAACGTTTGAGCCACTAATGCACCAGCCTATCTCACAGGCAGGTCACCATAGTAGGTCGCATGGTTTATAGCTGGGTTGATGATTACCTTTCTCCATTGGTAGTGTGCCGAGTACCTTCCAGTACCATGGACACTAGGCAGTGGAGGTGAAGGCTTGTTAGGTACCACTTCGATTTCCGTGTTCAACGAGATAGCAAGTGCAGTCTTCAGCAATAGCACCTTACCATCAGTTTCTGGCCATGATGGATAATCTTTGTATGTGTTCTTAGATTCTGTTTGCAAGTATTATATTGTGAAATTTTGCATCTAAGTTCATAAGAGAAATTTGCTGGTTTTTTTTTTCTTTGTTGGGTCTTTGGTTTAGGTATCAGTATAATGGTAGCCTCAAAAAGAATTAGGCAATGTTCCTTCTGTTTCTATTTTGTGGAATAATTTGAGAAGTGGTGATGTTAATTCTTCTTGGAAGGTCTGATAGAATTCTATGCTGAGTCCACTCTTGCCCTGGGCTGTTTTTGGTTGGAGAAACTCTTAATTACAGTTTCTCTTTCACTGGGAGCTACACGTGTTTATCTGATTTTAGTTTAACTTTGGTGAGTCGTATATCAAGAAATTTATCCATTTCTTTTAGGTTTTCCAGATTTTTAAAGTGTGTCCTTTTGATTCTCTGGATTTCTTTGGTATCAGTTGTTATGCCCCATTTTGTCTCTAATTGTGTTAATTTGGATCTTCTTTCTCCATGTTTTAGTTAAAACTTGGCTAATGGTTTAGCAATTTTATTGATTTTTCTCAAAGAACCAACTCTTCATTTTATTGATTCTTTGTATTGCTTTTGCTTTCTTGTCATCCACTCCTTTTGGGAGTAAAGTCTTTTGTTGTTGTTGTTGTTCTAGATCTCTCAGGTGTACTATTAAGTTGTTAATATGGGATCTGTCCAATTTTTTCTTTTTTTTTAAATATATTTTATTGAAAAAAAAAAGATTTCCGCCTCCTCCCCGCCTCCCATTTCCCTACAATTTTTTCAATGTAGGTATTTAATGCTATGAACTTGTCTCTTGTCTATGAACAACTTGAATTTTTCTATGAACAGTCTTCACTGTGTCCTATAAATTTGGTTATTTTGTGTTTTCATTTTCATTCAATTCTAAAAAGTTTTAACATTTCCCCCTTAATTTCTGTCTTGTCTCGTGTTTCCTTTAGTAGAGAATTCTTTAGTTTCCATGAGTTTGTAAGCTTTCTGTGGTTGTTGATATCCAGCTTTAATCCATGGTGGTCAGGTAGGAATGCAGGGTGTTATTTCAATTTTCTTGTATCTGTTGAGACTTGCTTTGTGTCCAAGTATGTGGTCAGCTTTGGAGAAAGTTCCAGGAGGTGCAGAGAAGGGATTTTGTGTGTGGCATGCCTGGGTAAAATGTTCTATAAATATCTGTTAGGTTCATTTTGTTCATAGCATCTGTTGGCTCCAGTATTTCTCTGTTTAGTTTTTGTCTGGATGACCTGTCCATTGGTGAGTGGGGTACTGAAGTCATCCACTATCACTGTGTGAGGGTTGATACGTGGTTTTCGCTGCAGTGTTTTTTATGAGCTTGCATGTCCGTGTGTTTGATGTATAAATAAATGTTTAGGATTGCAATATCCTCTTGGTTGATTTTTCATTTGATGAACACTTAGTGTCCTTCCCTACCTCCTCTGATTAGTATTGGTTTGAAATCTGATTTGTCAGATATAAAAATGGCGACACCTGTTTGCTCCTTGGGTTCATTTGCTTGGAGTAACTTTTCCCATCCTTTTCACCTGAGGTGATGGTGAGGTGTCTTTCTTGGATGCAGAAGAAAGACGGATCTTGCCCTCTAATCCAATATGTTAATCTGTATCTTACTGGAGAATTTAGATGATTAATATTGCGAGTTACCAATGAACAGCATTTACTGATTTTATTTTATTGTTCTGGTGTAGGGTTTTTTTTCCTCCCTCTTTTAATGTACTGTTCTGGTATTATTTATTCCTTGGGTCTTCTTGGGTGTGGTTAGCCTCTTCAGAGTGAATTTTTCCTTCTAAAGGCATCTACAGAGCTGGATTAGTAGACAGAAGCTGTTTAAATTTGTTTTATTGTGGACTGTCTTTCTTTGTCCATAAATTATGATCAATAGCTTTGGTGGGTACAGTACTCTGGGCTAGCATCTGTGGTCTCTCAGATTGTAGAACACTGGCCCTTCTGTCTTTCAGAGTCTCCATTGAGAAGTCAGGTGTTAGTCTACTGGGCCTGCCGTTGTATGTTATTTTGTCTTTTCCGCTTGCAGCTTTTAATATTTTTTGTGTTCTGTATGTTTAAGATTTTGACTATTACGTGCTCAAAGGATTTCTCTTCTGGCCTTTTCTATTTGGTGTGCTATATGATTCTGACACCCTGATAAGCACCTGCCTTCCCTAGGTTGGAGAAATTTTCTTTTATAATATTTTTCTGTATTTGGCCTGGGTTTCTCCTTCCTCTATTTCTCTTACTCTTAGATTTGATCTTTTCATGGTGTCCCAGATTTCCTGGATGCTTTGTACCTGGATCTTTTGACATTCAACATTTTCTTTGACTGAGGTACTCATTTCTTCTACCTGGTCTTCAACGCCTGAGGTTTTGTCTTCTATCTCTTATGGTCTGTTGGTGAGGCCTGCCTCTGAGGTTTTTGTTTGACATTCTAAAATTTTCGTTTCCTGATTTGTTTCTGTTTCGATTTTCTTTAGTGAGTCTAGTTCTACTTTCATGTCTTGAACTGTTTTCATTATTTCATTCAATTCATTACTTCTTTGTGTTCTCATGATCTTCACTAAGGGATTATCCGTATCATCTTTAAGGACCTTGAATACATCCATAACTGCCATTCTGAAGTCCCTGTCTTGTGCATCAACTCGTTTGCATTTCTCACAGCCTACTCCAATAGAGTTGTTGGGTTCTGGTGCAGGCATTTGTCTTGGCTGTTCATCTTTGTGTTTCTATACTGGGGTCTAGACATAGAGACTCATGATGATCTGGGTGTTTCTAGGTGTTGATATCATAGTCTTGGCTTCGTTGCATGGCTGTTTTGTTCTTTGGCGTCTCTTGCCCTCTCTGGATCTTAGGTAAATGCGGTGGCTGTGGAGGCCCTGGTAGAAGGTGCTTCTGCAGGTCAGTGGGGTGACGGAAAGGAATGTGGACAGGCTAGGAGGAAAGGCTGAGAGGGGCTGTGTGAAAGACTTAGGAAGACAGGGTCCACACCAATAGGGTCCCAGGGAGTAGAGTGGGTGGGAGGAGGGGCTCCTGCAAGTAAGCTGCAGGAGGACAAAGAGTAAGGCTGGAGAGACAGGGACGAAAGAACCAGGGGGATTCTGGGCCTGCACCAAGAGACAGATTCTCCA